ACAGATTGAAGGTCTCTTTTATATTGCGGGCCTGATGCTGAATATCATCATTCCTGTATTATATGTGACACTCAGCATCTGACAGGTCTATGCCCTTTTGATTTTTCATTTGTACAATTCACTTTTCTCTCCTTCAGTTAAATTGTACCACCCCATCTCCACACCTGCCCAGTTTAATTTAAAGTAAGCAAAGCATTTGAAAACATAAACATTACAAGAAAACTTGTGTGCATGTTACTGTCTGCTTATGAAAAATGATCGAAAGCCAAAAATTTCGAACCAGATTCCCAAAGTTAAGTCATATTTAGGCATATATATTATATAAAATACATCTGATATTTAGAAGTGCTGAAAATGGAATTGCTTGCATGCCTAAAATTAATTATGTGCATAATTGTTGCAGGATAAACCCCTTAACATGCCCAGGGTATGTCTACACTACAGAGTTTTGTCAGAAAAACAGACGTTTTTCCGACAAAACCTAAGTTACGTCCACACTGCAATTGCATTCTTCCAAAAATAAATTGAAAGAACAGAGGGGTTTTTCCGGCATTGGCAATCCTCTTTCTATGAGGAAGAAGCCTTTTTCCAAAAGAGCTCTTTTGGAAAAAGGTGTGTGTGGTGGAGTGTGGACAACCACCCCGGATGTTGGAACAGGTCCAGAGTAAGGTGAAAGAGTTCTGCCAGGGATATGTCTGGGCCAGAGAGCACACCTCGTGCTCAGGGGCAGGACCCCAGACCAGATCCTGGGAAGTGGGGAAATGTCTTCCCCACCATCATGGTGGACTCCGGCCTCCATACCCCTGTTATCGTCCAGCTAGAGGTCACGGTGGAGGAGGGATCAGGGCCAGCCACAAGAGGAGATGAAGACCATGACCCTCTCCCTGGAGCCAGTGCCTGTGAGCCAGGATGTCTCCCAGGCCTCCTTGGAAGTCAGAGAGGGATCTTCAGGTAAATGGTCTCACTTTTTGTCACACACACAGGGTGGGGGAGGCGGGTGAACAGGGGGCAAGTGTTACTCAGTCTGGACAATTTGCTGTGGTCCATACACATGGAACCATGTGCAGCGTTAGTGTACAGAATGCAGACACAGCAGCCAGCCCCTGAACATGGGTGGGATCATGCTGCCAAGCTCAGGGGAAGCCACACACTTCCCACCCCGGGGGGAGAGCACCTGCCACAGCTGGAAGCAGGCTAACCACAGGGGTGCATGCATGTCCCCAGACACTCCAAGGAGTGCTATACACAGCACATGGCCATGCCCGCAGGCAGCACTGTGAGCTGCCTGTGTGCATGTGGACACCAGGAGGGGACAGGATGCTCCCAGCTCCTCTGCCACCCACGAGGGATCCCACTGTGGCTGGACACTTTCTTTGCCTGCTTGTCTGTGGGCCATGAGGAAGGGGATGGGGAAGCGAGCAGCACGGTCCCCTGGGCACCTTGGGGCCCTTGTACAGCAGGCCCTGCCTCACAGCCTCCACCTGGCCTTGCTCCCAAGACATCCCCCTTCTCTGCCCCAAGGACTGTTGGTCACTGCTCACAGAGGAGGGCACGCCCTCAGGGACAGTGTCTGCATGGATGACTGACCGCCTCTCCCTCTTTGTATTCTCCACAGCCGGGTCAGTCGGGACTGAGGAGTGAGCCTCACCACCTGAACCAGCTGCCAGAGTTTGGGGGACCCATCCTGCGCAACATGCAGCAGTCCCTGGTGCAGAAGGTCTCTAAGGACTCAGAGTGGAGGAACCACACATGGGACCAACTCATGCAGTGGTGTGATAACATATCACGCATCCTGGCACATCCACCTGCTTTCGCTGCTCGTGGCTGCCACCCTCTTGCCCCCTCCCCCTCCCCACTATGCTCATTCCCTCTCTGCCTTCCATGCAATGCCTCTGCTCCCTCCCTAGGTGATGTCCATGCCCCCTCCCTCTCACCATCCCTGACCCTGCTCCAGCTCCACCTCCTGTCCACCCCACTGTGGCCCCCGGACCCACCCAACCCCAACGAGGTCTCTGAACCTGAGGTGGCACATGTAGCCACC